GCGCCCCGGCCCCAGCCCACGCCAGCCCCAGGCGTCCCACCAAGGTGGCCCCAGCGCGGCGCACGGCGCGACCCCCAGCCGGAGGGGTACGAGGAAACCCGTGCGCAGCGCTTGGGCTCCACACAGCCGGCCTGCGCGTGCTTCCGCCCGCCTGCCCCGCCAGGGCTCGCCCGGCCCCGAGCTCCTGGGGGGACACCCCGCTTCACCAGCTGGAGCTTCTGCTGTCCTCCCAGGTGGCGTCAGTGCAGAGAGCCGGGCACCACCCCACCCGGGCCCGCTTCGCCCTCACCCATCCCACCGGGGACCCCCAGCGCGGAGTCTGCGCCAGGGATGACCATCCATGGGATCACTCCTTCAACTTTAGGAAGGCAGCTGTTCGCCCAACTCACTGAAACAAACAAAGTCGAGCAAAATGAGAAGACGGAGGACTATGATCCGGATGAAAGAACAAGACAAAACCCATAAAAAGAACTAAAATGAAACGGACATAACAATCTACCTAAATTTGTTACTTTGTGACTTTTTTGTTTTTTGCAGTGGCAGTTTAATTTCTTTTTTTTTTTCCCTCACAACCTTAGAGTTCTCTTGAACCATGTTTGAAAACAAGTTAAGGGTCTGGAAAATCACTACTGGCGTGCCCTCGGTGCCTAGTGGAGTTGTGACGAGCTGTGCAGCTTCCACGTAGGCTATGAAGTGAAGACAAAGCAATTTCAAAACCCAGTAGAACCAAGTCCTCTTGCAGTACGAGGACCTGCAGTGAACAGGTGCACAGCCCCCCGTCTGTCTTGTCTGTGCTCCTAGTTGTTGCAAGGACAATGAGGCAAATACATAAAGAGGAAAAAAACTCTTCTCAAGATTCTTGCCTAGCTTCATTTTGATCCCTCCTCTGGCATGACTGAATCCTATTCCAAACTTCGGTGACTTTTTCTAATTTACCTTTTTAAAGGATACAAACTTGCATTAAAAAAAATACTTTTTCTGTTTATGAAGGAAAGCATGACTGTTTGAATTCCATATTCTTATAGTTTACCACATATGGTGAAAGGTCCCATTTCTCCTTGGCTGATACAGCTAGTTTAAGAAATCTTTAGTTCTCTAAAATGTTGATGTTTTCTGATTTTGGTTACTACTTTTAATTGCTAATTTATTAAGAAGCCTAGAATATTGGATAATCTAGAAGTATTTATCTTAGGAGGAGTTCATTGTGATACAAAGAAATTAGATTTTGCTTTGTTGAAGCAGTAATAGGCTCTTGGAAAAAAATTAATTATCCTAATAACATTTATACCCATATTCTACAATATCTGGGTTTTAGGAAATTATGAGGCATAATTAAATAAGATAATAAAACCTGGCAGTGTTTCTTCTGTTCTTATTATGCCTCTGAAATTGGGGATAGAGTCTGAGCAACGTAATTATAGCAGAAGGTACCAATTAACAGAAAATGGATGTTATTGGTCTTTTGTAGACAATATGCTCTAAGAGATATAAGTTCTGGAAAAAGTAACAACTAAGGGACCAGCATCTATATTCAAATGGACAAGACTAGGATAGAGTAGACTTTAAAATATAGGGGAAAGACTTCCAACTTAGCAAACCAGTTCAAATCCTAGTGCTTTTACTTGTTAGCCAGGTAACCTTGGCTAAGTTAATCTTAATTGTCTCAATTGTAAATATTGGATAAAATAAGATAACGTATATAAAACTACGATCCTATACAGGAGATAATTAGTAAGTGGTAGATTTTTTTTTAAAGATTTTATTCATTTGAGAGCGAGAGATAGCGAGGGAGAGCATGAGCAGGGAGCAGAGGGAGAAGCAGACTCCCCCGCCCTGAGCAGGGAGCTTGATGCGGGGCTCGATCCCAGGACCCTGAGATCATGACCTGAGCCGAAGGCAGACGCTTAGCGACTGAGGCACCCAGACGCCCCGTAAGTAGTAGATTTTATTAAAAAGTTCCATGAAGGAAGAACATCAATTCTAATTCTACGCTCGCCCAGGAACTACAATTTGATCACCTGAGTAAACTGACCAACCTGGAAGGCTTGTTCTGACGGTGTGACTGGCTGAAATTTTCTTGCAGGTATAAGAAACACCATGATAAGTATGCCTGGGTGGCTCAGTTAACCTTCGGCTCAGGTCATGATCCCAGGGTCCTAGGATTAAGTCCCATATCGGGCTCCTTGCTCAGTGGGGAGCCTGCTTCTCCCTCTGCCTCTGCTGCTCCCCTGCTTGTGCTCTCTCTTTCTCTCTCTCTGACAAATAAATAAATAAATAAAATCTTAAAAAAAAAAAAGAAACACCATGATGTAACATTTGGGTATCTGGGGTTTCAATTCAATTCATTTCTATAACTTAAGAGACCTTTTCTGATAAATCAAGTTGCTGGATCAGCTGTTAACCTTGTGAATGTTCCACTAAGACTTGGATGTATTTATATAAGTGCTGTACATTTAGCGTATAACCAGGAGTCCCTTGGCTCCTTTGTAAAGTTTTCATATTGTCCTGTTCTCTCGATTTTCATGCAAATTGAGGGCCCACTCTCAATCTTTACTCAGTAAATAATCTGGTTCAAATAATTTTTATTTTACTTCATTGAAAAAAGAAGTTGAAGAACTTCAGAACTCAAATCTAAGATACTGGCTTTCAGTTTGGTGCTCAAAGTACACACAGATTTTAGTGGTTGTTCAAGAAACCGTTAAGCAAACAGCGGGCACCTGGGTGGGCACAGTCGGTTGGGTGTCCGACTCTGGCTTAAGCTCAGGTTGTGGGATGGAGCCCCTCATTGGGCTCCGGGCTCAGCAGGGAGTCTGCCAGGATTTTTCTCTCCCTCTCCCTTTACCCCTCCCCCCAGTGTGAGCATGCACACTCTCTCTCTTTAAAATAAATAAATCTTTAAAAAAGAAAAGAAAATGTAAACAAGTCATTTACTTTAAGATACTCATGCATATAATGAACATTTACATAACTCTTTGTTATGGCATTTTAAAACCATACCTTTGTCAAGTTTTGGTTTTCAAACTCCTTTTCTACAAACCCCACAAGTTCCCTAAGAGGACTTCATTAGCTTTGCAGAAGAACCTTTGATGAGACAGGAAAGGGTGACACCCCTTTTCCCCAAAAAGCCCAACAGCACTTCTGATCTCATCTATTTCAAATACTGAGCTACTGCCAACATCAAATTTTATGTGTAAATAGTATTACACTACTAAAAAAAAGCCAAAAACAACTAATACACTCTGTACAAAGTTCCTTGATTGATTTTTCCTTCCTAGTGTGCTGTTTTCAATGTAATCATTATGACTTTCCACTACTCTGGGGCTTGCTATAGCATTTAACTTAATTTATTCCATTTCTTCCTCAACAAACAGTATTTTCTGATATTTAATCATCTTCTGTCTGCTTTCGTTCATTTGCATCATCATAAATATCTATCTAACCGCTCTTTTTCACAGCCATTTGTCATTCTCCTTCTAATAAACTTATTTGGAAACTATAAGTCTTAGACTAATAACTTTGCTTTTGGCTGTATTTTGTCACTCACATTTTAGTTTCCACTTGCAAATGTCCAGCTTTAGTAGCACTCATTTGAATTTTTTTTTGGTCTATTTAATCTAGAATTACATGCTTGGCAAGTGAGGGTTACTGGGTTTCCTATGTATGTGGACAGATTGTCAGTCAAGTGTTCAATATTATTATCTCATTGTGATACCCTAGATAGTATTTTATTTAATCCAACAGATTCAAATTTTAAAATATAATTATTTCCATATTTAGTACTATAATCTGGCTTTGCAAACACTCAAATCAAAATTCACTTGGTTATTTCTATGACATCTATTGTTGCTTAGTGTACAGATAATTATTCAGACAATGGAACTTTTTAAACTAAGTGCATACACAAATAATGAAAGTAAAATAAGCTGAGTTTCAATGTGTTCATAAATGCATACATAAGAGGGGAGCAAACTGAATTTTAATGTAATGCTTAGTCACTAAATAGATGTGATGATATTAAATGAGTACATATTTTGGGATACAAACACTAATCAGGATAAGACTTCCAATGAAATAATCCAATCATAATTTTAGGCACATGTTCTATATTCTGCTTCACTAATGAGATCAC